GAGAGCAGGTGACCGTGTGCCAGTGGTGGGGGGGGGGGTCTTCTGACTCGAAGGCAGCCCAGATGTGGGAACAGCTGTTGAGGGGGGAGGGCCCAAATGGACCAATGAGAGGAGGGATGACAGTGTGACCGAATCCAGCTTTGAGGCTTAAGGTGCTTGGGTACCAACTGGACCGCAGCCAGGGGTGTGTCCTGGTGGGCAGGGGGAGGTGGGACTGCCCAGGGAGTGTGTGCACCATCTTCAGAGGAGCCCCAGGGAGGGGGTTCCCCAAGGGCTGCCCTTCCCTCCTCCCTCCCCCAGGAAGATGAGAGCACCAGCTTGTAGCACCAAGTTCCCCTGGAGATGGAGACTGTGTGGAGGGGGAGCTCCTGGGTGGGAAGGGGATGGGGCAGGGGGCCGAGCCACCCACCCCTTGCCTCTGAAGTAGGGGCCTGCTGGTCGGGGCACTTGGTCACCACTCTCTTATTTCCTTGTCCTGTGGATTTCCTAGGCCGCCCGGCCTGCCCGTCCCTTCCCAGGGCAGGATGAGGAGAGGGCGTGGGGTGGGGTCACAGAGGGTTTACATTCTCCACCAAGCAGTAGCACCAACGTTGATGAGGTCGTGAGTCAGGGTCCTGGGAAGCTCACTTTCTCTTCCGGCCACAGGCTTTCCCCACACAGGCCCCACCTGGGTTGGGGGTGGGTGCACACATGACGGTCAGTCAAACCCCTCTGGATTGTTGTCCTCACTGACCAGTTCCAGCAGAAGCTCCAAGAAGCCCCGAGGAGCCAGGCCAAGGCCCCAGGTCAAGTCAGACCTGTTCTATTGCACAGACTCACTGGACAGATGGGGCGAGAACAGGGCCCAAGACACTACCGATGAAACTGAAGCTCAGACAGGGCAAGGGGTCAGGCCATGGGGACGGCTGGGGAAGGATCAGGCCTGGACAAGGTTGTCATGCTCTGAGGAACCTTTCAGGGAAGGGCTCAGGGCAGCCCCCATTGGAGAAGATAGGGTGAAGAGTGGACAGTGCCTAGAGGAGATGGCTGTGTAAGGGAGTGGGGTGCGCCCGTGAAGAGAGAGGGCACAAGTAAACAGAAGCCCAACAAGAAGGGATGAGGTCTTATCTACACAGCCAGGGACTCGAACCCAGGATTCCTGTCTCATCCCGGGGAGGGTCTGACTAGTAAGCCTTGTTCAAAGTGTAAATCTGCGGTAGGAAAAGCACGTTGGCTGGTAACATGGCCTGCAGTGGTTCTGCCCCTTACTGGAGCCAAGACATGGCTTGTTGCCGCCACCTGGTGGCAGTGAGCAGATGCAGAGCCGAGTATCTGGATCTCCCCCAGGGTGTTTAGAAAGCACCATGGCAGGGCCACAAACATGACTGGAACCTGACTGAGAGCTGGGCACCCTGGAAGTGCCCGTCTGATCTCGCTGATGCCCCGCCCCTCCTCTGACTTCGGCTGTGTGGTGGGAAGCAGGAGTAGGTGGAGGGGGATTCCTAGCCCTGAGTAACCACAGGGGCAGAGCTGTGGCTTCTTCGGAATTCCTTTAATGTTACTGGGAGGGACTTGGGGGTGGGGGTTGGTAATCAGAACCCGGCCCCCACGCTCCCCAGAAGCAAGTCTGCATCTCTGAGCAAGGGCGTGGTTTAGCCCAAGGAGTGGCCTCTGCACTACCCGTTGGCCTGAGGCACCCTGGAGATGGGAGGTGGGCAGGCTACGGAACTTGGGAGGGACTGCTAGGCCTGGCCTGTGGGGAGTGCGGTGGGCCTGGGCCTGCTCCCAGCTCTGTATGTCTGTGAGGGGCGTATAAGGGACAGGCAGAGGTATCCAGCTTCCCCACAACCG